GGCCGGGGGAGCAGCCGGCAAGGCGGCCCCCAGCCCGGCCAGAGGGTGTACAAGCAGTCCATGGCTCAGCGAGCCCGGACCATGGCTCTCTACAACCCCATCCCCGTCAAGCAGAACTGCTTCACCGTCAACAGATCCCTCTTCATCTTCAGCGAAGATAACATTATACGGAAATATGCCAAGCGAATAACGGAGTGGCCATATCCTTTCTGGGGGGTCCGTGGCGGCCAGGACGGACCCGCCTGGGTGCCCGGGTGGTGAGCGAGGGTGTGCCCCGGTGTGTGTGTGTGGGGATGGGGATGGTGCAGCTCTAGGGATGGGCGGAGATGGCTCTGCGCGTGTGGGGAAATATTACCCTGTGTTTCTCCTACGACCAGGGTGCGTGTGTCATGTAATGTGCGTGTGTGCGAAATGACAGGCATTTCCCTCTGTGGGTGTGGGTGTGCGCGCATCCAGAGATGCGTACGCCTACAGTAGACGAGCGCCTGTGTTTGTATTTCGTGCCGTTGAATCCGAGAGGACACCCGGGGTAAATCGCGGCTCTTATGTACAGAGCGTAACCTTTCCGCTCCTCTGAGGGAGAGAGAAAATGTAGGGTAAAATGGTGACACCTTGGCAGGCAAGCTGCATTAGTCCAGGGACACCAGCAGTCTCAAGGTACCCTTACTGACATCTCCATACACAGTTGTTGCAGCCTGTTTGTGTGTGCTTTTTATTTTCAATACACCACCTTGCCCATACTCCTTCATGTAGAATTGACATTAGCCCTTGTCATTTTGAATTGGGTACCACAAATACCCTTGATCAGAAGAGCTGGAGGGGGTAGTGCCTTTTTTTTTTTTAATTATATATATATATATATATTGTGGGGGGAGAGTGAGGCAGTAAATGAAGAGAAGGGCCATCATTGTGTTGTGAAAGGGGCAGATGCTTTTAATCTAAGAACCAGCTCCCTGGCCGAGTGATCTGCAGAGATCTTGCTCTGAAGGGGACTCTGCTTCTGTGGTGATGCATGCAGCAGGGATCCAAAACCTTGGCAAAGGGAGCCAGGTTCTTCCTCTAAGATTAGTGGGAGGTTGCCAGGGTGTGTGTGTGTATTGGACAATGTGCACCAGCAGGAGTACGTTGCACTGGGGATCTCAGGGGAGCTTGTTGTTTTCTTTTCATTTGAAATCACACACGCCTATTAATCCTCAGCTAACAGCAGCAAGGCCTCTTCACAGCCTCCTAGCAACATTTCCAACTACCACTGAGTCCAGTTCCTGTTCACTCCTCCACAGCATTAACTTTGAGGGGTGGTGGTTGTAATAAGGGGAGATAAATCCATTTGGAAAGCATACATTTTCCACACTGATTTCCCCGTGTAATATTATAAGAGCGCAAAAATCGCTTTGCTTCCCTGTCTGTGCCTACCTCAGGGCAGCTGCAATGAAGTTTTGAATACACAAACAGCAAAGCCCCAGTGGCAGTTATAACATCGCATTTTGTGCATGCCTAGGTGCAGCCCCCGGCCCTCTCCATCTCCCTGCCAAGGTGTTCGGGGTGAATTCAGTAGTTTGAATCCAGCAACACTATTGCAATAAAATTGGCAAAACTGTTAGTCAGCGCCTAGCGCTTTCCAAGGTGCTGAAAATCTCATTCACCTCCTTGCGCTACTGTTTAGTTCTGGGGTCAGGCAGGGATATGCCCATGTGCGTGTCGGAAGAGAGAGCAAAGGGGAAGATGCATTTACAGTAGGTTTCACTATGATGTGTAATTAGTAAACATTTTCCCTTCAGCAGCCACACAACCCTATAGGGTACACTGAAAATATTGTTCGCTGTAAGCTGGAGTTGCAGTTCACGTTTTGGACTCTGAAACCTTGATTTCCAAACTATTACTTATTTATACAACACTCATGATTTCAATTATGTGGCATCACTGAACAATATTTCAGCCAAGGACATCTAATTTTACTACCCATTTTGGGAAACTTAAGTGCCTTAGTCTTATTTAAAAGCTGAACTCCTTGGCTCTGAGGGGAAGAAAACTGCCTCAATTTCTAGAAGGGAAAACCCCATCAATTTGTATTTTCAAACAACCAGTGTGATTTTTTTTGTTTGTTTGTTAAAAATCTCCTGAAGCCTTGTTAGAAAGGAGCCAGGCCTTAACCACAGTGTCTCCATAGTACATACATGGGATTTGAATGATCAACTTCTGCAAGTGTTTAAAGATGTTTTCTTTAACCATTGTCCCCCACTCCATTTGAATACATGATTTTAGCCACCATTATAGCCAACTGTATTGTGCTGGCTTTGGAGCAGCATCTACCAGATGGAGACAAGACACCCATGTCAGAGAGACTGGTGAGTTTCATTTATTTATTTAGATTTTTCTCTCATCTTTGGAAAGCAAGCACCCACCCACCCAGTGTTCCGGGTATCCTTAACTTTAAAACTACATCTTATCAAATAACGTCATGACTACGCACATCTGACACAAAACTGATTGCAGCTCCTCAAACCATCTCCAGCAGAATTCCACACCACACCACACCAGCCAGCCCAACTTATCTTCTTAGAGTCAAAGCAGGAAAAAAACAGATGTTACAGCATGCTTTGAAGACCAGAAAACTCAAGCTGTTAGAGGCAAAGGTAGAAAGGGAATTCTAAAGTCTTCAGGACTGTATGTAGAACTGAATGACCCTCTTGGGTGTTTTCCCAGGAAGTTGTAGCATATAGTAACCTTTTGGCATTCTGTGTACTTCATATTGTCTTCTTACTGAGGGATACTGGAAACTCTTCAATGGAAACTTATTGGATTAGACAATATTATGTTCTTACCAAAAAGAAAACAGTTTTACAAAGAAAAATAATTTACCAGCAGGCTTTATGGTAATGAGTCCAATTACCTTATTTCAAAAGCAAAAACAAGAATAGCTTCAAAATGGTTCTTTCATTTGTCATCACTCTAGGGGGGATAAAAGCAATATTTGGTTTATTTTTTGTTTCTTTTAACAAATTGGAACATCTTCCAGGCCAGAATGAATAGAAATTTTTGCTTGCTTGGTTTGAGACTAAATCTGAATCTAGTGTTTTACATGTATCAATTAAATTATGCAAACTAAAATAAGATTAGGCTTAAAGCCAAAAACTGAGAAATTAAGGAGCCCCTGTTCCATTGTTGCTGCAATTTCCTAATCGCTGCAGCTTTCAATGTCCAAAATAGTCTATGGCACTGGGCAAGGTTCAAGAGCCAAGTAATTCTTTGATAAAAGATATAAAGTAGTAGGTGCGAGGAATGGAAATCTCTCTCCAGTCATTTATTTTGCACCTCTTGCTTGAGTGAATGTATCTTAGCGGTGCCCACTAGTCTCCTAATTTATATATATTCTTCTTTCCTCTGTAAAATATCTTTTGTTTAAGAGTGGAAAGTAAAAGTGGGAACTTGCGTGTAAGTATATAAATGCTCAATCTTTTTACCATTATATGGCAGTATATTATAATGGGTCTTAATATGTCCTAATTGGAGAAGGATGGTTTTCTGATTAATGCATAGGCTGGGATGCAGGAGTTATGACTTCAAAGGGAGTTTTGCCTCTGCACAGACCAAGGACTAGTACATTTGTCTTCTGTGGATTTTTCTTCTGTGATCCTTATAAGTTTGAATGAACAAAATGGCTTCGTAATCAATCCTGACCCTCAAACACTTCAATGGTGGATTATTTCAAGCCACAAGCATCACTGTTAGCAAATCCTGTTTGTACCACTATCATTCTCCAGATTCAACAGGAGTGGATGTGGGTGGGGGAGAGTGAACAGAGTCCTGCACCCAGAATCTGAAGGTTGGAGAATTTCTTTTTTGGTCCCTTCCTGTATTGCTTTAACTCTGTCCTTTAAAGCTCTGTCTCACAGATGCTGTCTTATAAGGGCTCCTTTCATTTCCTGTCAGTGTTACTCTTTTACTGAGTCAGAAAAGTCACTGCTGAGTGATATGAAGCACACCCAGTTCCTTTCTACCCCACTGCCAGTTCTTCCTATTGCTGGAGTAAGAATTCACCCCCAGGCTTATGACTCAGTGGCATTCTAAAGCAGTGTCTCTAAGCCAGCCCTGATAAGGCCATTTTCCCTGTAGCACTACTAGAGTCATAATAAAGATTGCCTGTGTGTTGCTTTAATTCCATATGATATTTCTGTCTTCAAAGTGTGCTGCAAAAAAAACCCCAGTGTTGCTAATGAGAAATATTTTCTGTTGACTTTCAACAGCTCCAAAACACTTTCCTCTTTCCCGTGTAAAGTGTAAATTATTTCATTTTGAAAATGGTAAGAATCCACAATAAACTGCTGAGTGGGAAACATCCCAGTCATTTTCACATACATTGGAACATACCCTAATTCCATTCAAATCGGCAGGAGTTCTACTTTTGACTTCATTAGGACTAGAAATTGGTCTTTTTGGTTTAATGACTTTAGGGCTTGGCCTGTGTTTGCTAAAAACAAATAAATAAATTAAAAAAATCCAAATGAGTGGTAGCCATTGCCTGAAGACAGATTCCAAGAAGCTCGATTTGCATCTTACCACTTTCTGGGGAATGCAAAAGAGAGATGATACTATAAAGGGATAAAATGGCTGGCCAGTTATCTGAAAGTCCAGTGGATCCTTGTACAGCATGAGTTCAGTTTCTAGAGCTGGTAAAAAAGGTGAAGGGGAGAGTGGGGGAAGAATTGCAAAAAGTTTTACAGGATTTCTTTATTTTTTGGTCAATATTTTGTTGTTGTTGTTGTTGTAAAAATAAAGGCATAGATCTTATTCCATGTCAAAGAGATCTAAGTGCCGGGTATGCAACTTTAAACATCTAAATACCTGCACACAATTTCATCATGCACAACAGCTACAATTCTGCTAAGGTGCCAAATATCTTTATGCTCCACCATCTTGTCCTGAATATATTGCTAGGTGAGCAGACTGAGGCTACTACTGCATGTACTCAGAGACAATCCAATATGGCCACCTCAGCATTTAACTTCATTTCAATCTGTTGTGATCCAGTTCCACCTGGAAATGCACATTAATACTTAATTCCTTATCTGGAGAAAATCTATGTGCAGAGGCTGTATTATACAAAGGTAAAGCTTGGTAATACAAAGATAAAGCATCATGGTGGTATCACACATCTTCAGTCAGATAGCCTCATGGTTAAACCACACCTGTCCAGGAACTGGGAGATGTGGACTTTAGGCTGAGCTCACTTGGAAGGGCCAAGATGAGAGCATGTCCCACTCTTCTTGTTGTAGTTGGGCCACTGGTCAACAAGGAGTGCAAAAGTCACAGAGCCAGATGCAGAGCAAATGAGAGTGTCATTCTCATCCAGTGAGGAGGGGCACGGCCCTTTAGGAGTGGAGCCCTGTTCTGGTCCCTGCTGCCAGGAGAATTTCTGTTTTATAACTGGTGATTGTTGAATATAAAATAACAAACAGTGCAAGAGGGAGTGTTTTTCATAGATTCATAGATGTAAGGGTCGGAAGGGACCTCTATAGATCATTGAGTCCGACCCCCTGCATTATGCTTATGTTATAGCATAATGGTTAGGGCACTCAGCTGGGGGAGTCCTGACTGCTAGTTCCTCCTCTTAGGATTGTTTGTGCATATTGCATTAAAGTTATTAGATAAAATGGTTAAGGAATATTGGGAACAGGATCCAGAAGCCAGGTCTCCCTCCCATGGCAGTGCCTACCTTGCTGCGCATTAGGGAGTCACACTCCTTCAGGCGTAAGTCACAGTCCATTTTGCTTGGGGTCTTTCTGGTCATGTAACAGTTGCATTCCTTGTTTCCCAGTGGTCCAGTTTTAACTGGAGAGGTGGAGGATGCTGTCAATTTTGACTAGTCTATGGCCTGGGTATTTGGCTACTGTCCTGGGAAGCAGGAGAAACGAGTTTGTCTCTAGATTTTTTGGTCTCCCACCTCATGGGCAAATGCTGTCATCATTAAGCTATTGGTCAAAAGGTGGGTAGCATCCCAGTTTCTCCTTTATATATGGCAGTCTGTACTATCAATCTGTTAGAGGCACTGATAGATGTTCCCTCTGAGTTAGCTGGATCACACCACGATGCCTCCATTCTTAGCAAGTTGGATCAAATTGGATGTTGACATGATGTAAGGCTGCCCATAGCTCTGCTCATTGCAAAACTGGAAGAGGCATGTGCATATTCCTGGAATGAAAAATATTACCTTCTGGAACGTAAGACTACCTGTTGCCCATTCTACATGACGCTGCAAGGGGGGAATAAATTGTCCTCTGGGAATACACTAGGTTGTGATTTGAGAGAATGGGACAGGTGGAGTGGGACTGGTTTCCTGAGGGAGATGTGTAAGTTTTGGGCAATTGAAAGCCAAGTCCTAGATGCCTGTATACGTGGAATAGCTTCTGGGCCAGATTTCCACCTAGCTATAGTTATTCTCAGTTTAGAGGAACACTAGTTTCTACCACCAGCCCAGCTGACTGTGCTGTCTTTGGCTGCATTACTCATCCGTGGTCACAAATCTTTATACAACACATAGGAAGAAATAATTGTGCACAGATTGGCATTTACATGTGCAACATTTCAGCATAACTAAGGCTTTTTTAAAAAATGGAATAATGTGGACATGAAGGATCTTCCATGATGTCTTCTGTTGACTGCATACAATTTGTGTTTCTGTCATGCAAATGGTATGCAAAAGCTGGAGGCAGTTGCATGGTGGCAAGATGTAATTTTTACTTGTTATACTTCTCTGCGTAGCTTTTGCAGGCTCTTTTGGGCATAACACGTTGGTTTGCTCTCTGTTGTGCCAGACAAGAGAGTGGAGCATATGGGCTTCAGTGTTAATATTGTCCAAACTGGTTGGAACCAATGTCCACTGGTTGGAAATTTTCCAATAAAATTATTTTTTGTTGGGAAATACTGATTTGTCAAAACCAAAATGTTTGTGCAGGATTGTTCCTGTTCTAGAAAATCTTTAATCAGAAATGCTTTTCATTGTTTAAAGATGATATTTCTGATGCAATCTACCCCTGAATAACTACTAGGCCAAGTGGGTGAGGGACACAGCTGAGGCATAGGTGATCTGGGTTCAAGTTGCTACTTTTCCTGATTCAGACAAGAGACTTACAGCTAACTATCTTGTACAGCAGGTGAATGCCCCCACTCTTGAGCTGTTGGTTAGACTGGCATAGGAGTCCTCTCATATCTGTCTTGTTGTAGTTGTTTCACTTTCTTCTATTAATCAAATATTTATTGGAGAAGAGACTTGAACCTGGTTCTTTCATACTCTAGCTGAGTGTCCTAACTGTTGAGCAGTAGTGCCTCTTTCTTTGGCCAATACATATGCAATGATTTATGCAAAGTGGAACAACTCAAACAGGAAAGATCTTTCTCTTACCTCCAGTAGCCTTCCGCTTACTGCAGTCACCTCAAATGTAGAAGGACAACTGAGTGCCCTATCTGCTGGGCTTTGCTATTCCTGAGGTGGGATTGGTCTCCCTGTTTTTTTTTTCATGACAAGGTTAAAGTTTTGAATTTATCCCAGCATGCAATGTGAAAGCTTTTGTTGTTGTTGTTGTTAAATGAATTAACTATTTGTTGCAAGACTGGGAAGCTATTTATTGCCTACCACTGGTCCCTATTCTGTTTTAAGATGCAAGAACTTTCTATATTTTGATGCTTTGTGTACTGCTTTAAGACTCTAAAAGGTTGGCTTTCCTGGATGTTTTTGACATGTAGGAGGGGCATAGGCAATTTCCTAATTATTCAGCATGACAGTTATTTCACTTGGCTAATGGATTTCATTCTTTATCCAAGCCACAGGTGCTCAATGCAGTCATATGTGAGCTGCTCACATTAACCTCTGTTTGAACAAAGCTCTGGTTTGCCAACACACCCAAACCTATTAGGTGTGTCATCCTAAGCCCCAGGAAAGATATAGGCAGTAGACTTGGAATAGTAATGAAATAACACTTCAAACGGGAAAACATTTCCAGAATCATAAATGTTTTCCCATTTGAAATTTTATTTCTTAAAAGGGTCTGGCCCAGTCTCAAGCCTGATTGCAGCCATAATTAGCAGCCTGCTGGCAGAGCTTATACAGACGTTCGTAGTGGATTGTCATCTCATAGGGGAAAGGCTGATTAACTGGGGCTGCATGATGACCTGAAGACTTCGCCTTGAGTGACAGCAGCATTCCTGTTGTCAGATAGGAGCAAGAGAGAGGTCTCATTAGACCGACCCTGTGGCATTTGATGATAGGGAACTTGGAGAAGGCAACTTCCAGCAGTTTAACCCAGTCCTGATGCTTTATTTTCTTTCTTTTTTTAGGCAAGTATATTATCCTATTGTTGAATCTTTTTCTGTCACTGGAGCTGCCAAGGACTTATGTCTTCCTCTCCCAGTTTGGCACTGTCTTAGCCGTGGGAGCAACTTATTCCATAAATTCCTGAAGTACATGCAAACATTTCAGCCTAGTGTATCTCTTCTGAGCTCTGGTCCCTTTAAACTAGGCCTTATGGTCAGAAGGGCACATGACTCATTAAACATGTGACCTGTAGTAAATTTTTTATATATATATATATATGGCTTCCTGCTCATGAGGAAGCAGTTAGGACAGTACCAGTTTGGAGATTTTGTTGCAGGAAGTGGGTGGAAGAGATTTTGTACTGGGGAAAATTTAGGATGGCAGTCTCCAAAGTAGTGAGGCATATGGAATTCAGATTTTGAAGGGGGTCATGGGACATTCTTGAAGAGCAAGAAGATGTTGTTTATTTGCTAGGTTTTTAGAAAAGGAAGCCCTTTCTTCTGGGAGAAGAAAGGACTAAGCCCAAAGGGACATACAGGGAGGGTCATTGGTGACCCCGCCATCCCTGCTGCGCAAAGAAGAGGGAGAGTGATGTGGCAGCTTCATTCCTTGTGTCCCCATTGTGACTCCCAGATGATTGTGCATCCTGCTTCTTCCACTTACATGGGTCAAAGCTCATTCACATCATGGGAATGACTTGTCCTCCATCTTGGTTTCTTATCCTCAAACAAGCATAGCTCCTGTTGGAGAGAGTTGGTTAGAAGGATGTTTCTTTAAATCATAGTTTGTCACGCTGAGGATTTTGCAGTCTGCATCCCCTACTTGCAAAGGGATGTCAGTGTTTTCTCATATTGCTAGATGGGTGGGAGAGCTTGTGAGGTGGTTCTCAAGTAAAAGAAGGAAAACACATATACACTACAGCAAAGGAATCATGGGCTTTCTGCTTTAAAGGAGGAATAATTTGTAGAGTGCAGTGGGGGCTGGAAGAGGTAAAGGCTGCAGAGGAGGGTTGGGCCCGGAGCATAACTTCTGTCTAGTCTGCTCTTTCTTAAATTATGAAAGCAGTTCAAGTGGGGAGGAGGGAACCCCAGGGTAAAATTTACATATTATGTCTTCAGTCTAATCCTAGAGGATATAAATGGTTAATTCCTTTTATTTCCATTGGGTTTGAGTCTCCAAATCCCTTAAGTGTGTTGGAAAACTGCAGCTGAATAGGTCTTATCATGTAGAAGCTTGAGATTCCTTCGAAACTTGAAACATTTGATGCCCTTAACAACAGGAACTGAACACCCATCTGTGTGTGGATTATTTCTTTATGGGTAAAGGGTGGAGAGGGTGCTGCATACCAGTTTGAGAGTTTCAGGATTTTTTTTAGATTTAATTGCTGTTTCCAAAGATTTGCAAATTTCTTCAGTGAATAATGCGTTGGGCACAGATTGTTATGAGAAGTTTGCTGAATGTGGGTGCATGCTAATGCTGCTTTTGTAGCTGTTGTGTATGTCTGCTTGGGAGGGGTATTTTTTCCATCCTCCTCCTTTGGTAAGAACAAGGCTTTTGTAGTATGTACAATATAAAAAGTGTGAGCACATATAGAGGGGTTAGGTTGGCTACCTGAGCCAGAATTACCAGGCTTGCAAAGTCCATTTTTGTATTAAATTCACTTCCTTATTTTTTATCTTTCAGTCCTAAAGTGCTGTTGTTCCTGCCCAGAATATACTGAGTCAGATTTTACCACCAGTGGAACTGCACTAGGGCTTGATGACACTGCACTAGGCAGGAATCTGACTCACCGGGCACATCTACTTGAGATAATGCGCAGAAGACTAATTCTGCTAATCATAAGCACAGCTGGCAAAAACCGTGCTAATGTGCAGTAGATTTAGTAATTCACATTAATGTCACTCAAAACGTGTTCATCTGTGCTAATGCACAGTAGCGCCGATTACAGTGCATTTAGTACCTGACATTACAGATACTAAACTGAATGCGCAGTAACCATGGCACATTAATGAATGTGTAGATGTGCCCACTGGATACAATGTTTTAAACTCTCTTAAAGACTTAGGAGCATTAAACTTGTGCAAAGTCAGTGAGACAAAGATTCTTAGGTATCCAGGACCCAGATTTTTATAGGTATTTTGGTGTCTCATTCCCATTAAAATCAGTGGGTTTTAGGCACTAAAATGCACAAAGCAGCGTGAGCCTAAGCCACTCAGAAAATGGGACAGTTGCATAGCTTATACGAATGTTTTTACTTTTGTTCCCTTTTTCTAACTCCTGGCTTATGTCTTAATTCCAGCACCAGTCATTTCTATTTCACATTGAAGATAATGTTCTGATATACAGATGAGTTCGGAGTTTCTCAAACTGAACTACATACACCTTTGGGAGCAGGCAGTAAGCTTCTAGCAGTTATGTAAGATTTTAGAATCACTAGATTAAGATTCAGTATTGGCAATGCCACAAATATATATAGTGCTTAATAAAATAGAGAATAAAAATGGTCCCCACCCCATCAACTGACAGTTTAAATCCATCAACAAACTCCCTGTAAAGATTTCAGTCTTGTGGTGCTGGACGGGGCAAAACTCCAAATAAAGTGAATGGGAATTTTGAGTCAGGTGTCAAGTCAAACAACAATAAGTGAGGGGCAGTTTTTAGGTAATGGAGACAAGGAAGAGAAGGGTAATGAGGAAAAACTGAAGGAATACATTATTTTGATGGAAGGCAGAGAAATTATAGTGCAAGAAATGGGGAGGTACTTCAAAATCCAATACAGATAAAAAATTCACCATGAATAATTTTGGTTGCATTTGCCTTAAAATTGTTAAAATCAATCATTTATTCTCAGGTCATAATTCTCAAATTATTTCACAATTAGAAGTATTTGCATTTTTCTCCAGAATAGGTTGCAATCAGTAATTCATTTGCCGATAGTTCTCAATCCCCGTTTGCGATCCATGCTGTACTGTCTGGTTGTGTGGGTCTTAAGCTTTTGTTTCTGTTTCCAAAATAGATGGCTTATGTAATTCACTAACATCAAAAGAACTTCTCATATTACAATTAAATCTCAAATTTGAAATTTTGCTTTTGGTAAATATTTAATCTTAAATTCTTTTTTTTAATGAGAATTTTTGCTTCTAAAGCTTGCATGCTCAGATGTTCATAATAAAAGAAAATGAAAGTTTCCTAAACATTCAAAATTCCATATAGAGAACATTGGAATATTTAAGAGTATTTTTAAACTCAGATCTAGTAAACATAAAAAGACATGGATTTCCCTGTAAGCAAGAAATTGTAGGAGGCCTTGCAAATTGAATGTGTTATTGTTGGTTGCACAGAACTTGAAGCCAACACAGAAATGTTTTTTTCCTGCATGTGTCCTGATGGGTTGTATTTTTTTCTTCTCTTATTTGCAGGATGACACTGAGCCGTACTTTATTGGAATATTTTGTTTTGAAGCTGGTATAAAAATCATCGCTCTGGGGTTTGTTTTTCATAAAGGCTCTTACCTCCGAAATGGCTGGAATGTGATGGATTTTGTTGTGGTCCTCACAGGGTAGGTGACTTCTCGTTGCTTTAAGTTTGCTAAGGGTTTGCTAAGAGTTAAGTTTGCTTTGTTTTGTATCATTCTTTAATTATGGCTTGGAGGAGGGGGTAAGGAGTTACTCTAAACCATTTGAGAAGATGCGTACTCTAAATGTGTGCATGGCTGACCTTATTGTCTAAATAATGGCAATTGTGTTGAATGAGTCATTTTTGAAGCATTGTTTGAACCACACTAAAAAGAGGTTTTGAGGACACTTATTTGTAGATATGTTGTCATGCATCTTACTCAGACACTATGAGATACTTTTCCTTTTCTCCGTGTTCTAAATAGTAACAGGTATGCAAAAGATATTTTAAATAAACCCTCCTCCAAAATTGCAAAAGTTTCAAAAGTAAGCACATAAAAAGCTCTTGGTTCATATAACCATTTTAACACTGTTTCAATTCTGTGAAAGTCAGTGGAGTTTTACAAGTAATGAATTTAACACACTACAAAATCATAGCTTAAAAAGAAGTAAAAAAGAGTGAGATTTTTGAGAGCTTAGTTGAAAATTCTGTTTTTTTTTCTCATATAATGTCAAGTACCAGATGTCCGAACCGGAATACAGCTGCTATTGTGTCAGGGAGACGGCTATCATCTATGGTGCTTAGGTCGTACCTTATAACTTGTCTATCCGCGGGGCTTTATGAAGTGTTTCCTTAAATTCCAAAATAGCAGTTAAGGTTTCTGAAGATCCATTTGAGAACCTTTATGCTCCTAATGGGAGCTTTGCTTACAGAAGATTATAGAATTGGCCCTTTGCATTGAATAGTTCCTCTTTTCACACATCCCTCTAGTCTATGGTATAGAGGGGAGTACAGATGAGGTCTAAATATTTTGAATTGTCTATATCCTGGCTTGTGATGTGGAATAGAGTGCTGTTAAGAAATTCTGTGCATACGTATACAACTGTATTTATTGGATGCATTATCATTATAATTCTTTTGTATTCAGAGTCCTGTATTGATGTGGTTGTCAAGATGCTGAAGGGAATTAGTTATACACTGAGATGAAGAAAATGAATACATAGGGTTTGATTCTCCTACCACTGGCATTCTGCGTAAATCCAGGGTAATTTGACTGAAGCCAAAAGGAGAATATGGCTCATATGCTAGGAATTTTAGGGGTTGAAAACTGAATTATAGAAATTGCTACAACCACTGAAGAAGTTAAGATGTTTCACATCCTATTTCAGAGTGTATCCTCATTTTTAAAAAAATGATCTGGAAAACATGTAAGCACTTACTTAAACTTATCCTCATTTAGCAAAGTACTAACGAGTGTGCCTAAGTTGTATTGACTCACTCCAAAGGTAGTTAAGCAGGTTTTTAAAATTAAGCCATATGTAAGTGTTGTTGTGAATTGGAGTAATGTTTTTGTTTATGTAGGAATGTTTTAGATTTAGCGTGGGGTGTTTTTTAAAGGCATGAAATGCAGAATCAAAATACATTGTTTTAAATGGTTCCTATTTGTGACTCAGTTGTTCAAAGTTTGGCCACAGTATATGGATTACTTGTATATGTGCATCATACTTACAGAATTATAAATAAATGTGTAATGCCACATGTATGACATGGACATTTTATTAGTATAATATCTATCTGCAAGTATTTGTAGTGCTGTTTGATCTCTGAACATAGTTGTAGAATATCAGTTTGAGTAGGCAGCTGTAATTAGGAACCCTGTTGCCATCTGCAAACATGCATATTCTTTTGAAGTATGATCCTGTTAACGTCAAGGCTTCTGGTTTCCAATGGTGACACTAGCTGGGTTGTATTGAAGTTGTCTTGTACGTGGACTTCCTACCAGGCAAGTGATGCAGAGAGGACTTAGTATAAACTGAGTGACGTTAAGTACAAGAGCCATCTGTAGTGAAGAAATTCACATCATCTTTAAATACTACAATTTATGGCCTGGATTCAGCAAGGAAGTTGAGTACATGCCTAATTTCAGGCACATAAGTTGCAGCTGAGTTACTCATGAAGTTAGGTAGATAAACATCTTACTAGAGCAGGACCTGATTTTGCAATACTAGTAATGAGGAGGAGGAACCTGCTGGGACAGAAGTGGTATTGAAAGATCTTCACCTCCACACAGGGGATTAAATTAGTATTTTCTCTAATGCCTGCTGTAGTCTACTCTAGATTTCTTTGACTGTTAATAGGTTTGTAGTTTGCCATTCTTGCCACAGGAGCCCTAGACTAGGAGACAAGAACTCTGTGGTTGTTTGGGCATCCATGGCCAGTCAGAAATAGTTAATGTCACCCACTTTTCCTCAATAACCTGTGTGCGCAGGAAGCCTTGAGCAAGGCCATTTTATTACAAAGAGATATCATCATGACATCGCAGCAGCAAGGCTTTAAAGAAAGGTCACGGAGGGAGAATGTTTACCAATAACAAACCTGATTATTTCTCCAGGGAAGATTTTGCTACTTGGTGACATGAATGCAACTTTAATTTTCTTTTCTTTGTGTGGGCATATCAGATCAGTTTATCTGAGAGTACTTGATCATGGTGTGTATGTCTGTGTATGAGAGAGACCCATCAGACCATAATAAAAATGACTGACAGTAGTAAATCTGCATTTCAGGAAGCATTCAATCTGTATATGGAATGACTGCTTCAGTAATATTATCTTACTACACTTATGTTGCAAGCTTCTCTGTTGCCAACTTTTTTCTTTACCATATGTACATCAACTCCCTGTGTAAAGGCTACGTAGGCATGTGTTCCACAGCAATGGAGACAGACTCATTGAATTCTCCAGCATAGAACAAAATTCAGTTTCAAAAAACTGAAATATCACACATTGATTTTTGATTTCTCATGTTTTCTGCTTTATGGGACAACATAAAAACATTATGGGATACAGAAATTACTCTACACATGTGCGTGTGCATGTGTGCGTGCACACACAGAGTTTCTGTTAATCCTGTATTTTTTTGAAAAGATAAATGATGAACACTAGAAAATCTGATCTCAGTTTCAGCTTTCAGCTAAAATGCAGGAAAGCAAAACGTGGATTTGCTATCTCAGTTGCTTCCATAGGGAAAGGGCTAGTTTGTGTAGGGA